CGAAGCAACAAGACAAAGGAAAGCACGAAAACAAACCACAAACCTCTGACTGCCACTGGATCCAGCAGCGGACTTGTCGCCATCCCTGGAATTTAAAAAAGAAAAAAAGAAAAATTCAGCATCATATTTGTCACCTATAGCACTAGGGCTCTAATCAACAGAAGAAAATCAACAAATATTTACCCCTCCAAATCCTTTGCTACGGGCTTCAGTTTTAGTTCTTTAGCCTGCTTGATGATTCCTTCCTTGTCAGCATTTTGGGAACTGTATGTTATTGTCTTACCGCGCCATCCGTGTTTGCCCTGTAGGTATTTGGCTCCCACAACCGCGGAGACAGTTTCACAGAAAATGGGTTCCTTGTCATGATAGAAGAGTTTTTCAATTTCCTTCATACGACTTTTGACTTGCTCAACTTGCTTAGGGTTGCGCTTGAGGTCATCAAACATGAGCTGGTATTTCCCATACTGCAGAGCTTTCAGCCCCCGTTCAACAGCCCATTTGGAAGCACTGGACATTTTGGTTTGAAGAGGAGAAAGAAGAAGAAGAAGATTCTGTGAAAAGTTTGGAGAGGAGGAAGAAGACGAAGAAATAGTGCAGATTGCTGTGGGGGACGTTCCCCCATTTATTCACAAGACCTCTGCCCATCACTCTCCACATTTCCACAAATATCATCTGGGCGGAGCAAGAGAACAGGCCCTCTTCTCTGAAAATTTTGATGAACGCAAAGAGGTCATGGTCGCCTTTGCTCTTGCCCGAGAAGAAGAAGAAGACGAGTAAACATAGAGTGAGAGCGAGTGTGAGGGATTTAAATCCCATCTCCTTTCGCAACGTCTCTTTTCTACTTCCCCCACAGCTTCGTGACAAATTTTAGTTCACTGTCAACTGCCTCTGAAGTGCATGGGGCCAATAACACGTCAAATCAACTTTAGCCTTATATTTTAATATATCTAAAGTTTTACTTAAATTCCTATGAAAAAAAAAATGACAGCCCATAATTCAAACCTAAAAATCAAAATAGAAAGTACAAAAATCAAACTCCAACTGGTAAAAATTAATTATATCTTGAGCGTTTGTTCTTTGCCCTCATCATCTTCATCATCTGAGAAAAAAGAAAAATCAAATATAATTCATAACTTGATTAACCAAGCAATAATCTATAACATAACTTGATTGAAACCTAAAAATCAAACTCCAAATGGTAAATCTAATTATGATAGAGGGATGGTGGTGGGATCGCCATCAATACTCTGGCAGAGACAGATCTGAATCCTGATGATACAACCTTTAAAAAGTTAAACAAACACTGCAACTGACATTTTTATTATGAGTATGAGCATTTACTGGGCGTTTGTATCTGGTAGGTACACCTCCACATTGAGATAGGTTCATTTATTATCATACTTACAAAAATTCCAATTAATCACTTTTACATTTCGAACAAATCTTCCACATTAATTTGTTTGGTAAACAGTGACAGAAAGTTGAATCTTTTTCCTGTTTAAGTTGAAATCTAGTAGCTGGTGACAGCACAGAAGAAAGACGAATGCTAGGGAATTTTGTTTAAATGTGCCATTGCATTTTATTTCTTCTTTTTGGTACAAGCGATAGTCTAAATTAGAGAAAAGAAGAATTTCTCATACACATACAACTATGATATCGTGGGGATTCGAACTAGAAACCTCTAGTATTCAAGTCATTGCATTTTTATTTTATAATAATTAATGTGAATAGGGGTGGCAATTTCTAACACGACCTGTTACACGGAGCAACGGAGATCTTATTCACTTGCACTGCCTTCATATTGAGAACGGAGAGATTCGTTGTAAAAATTGGTTCCCGCATGCTTTCAGAACGGAGATCTTATTCACTCGCACTGCCTTCATATTGGTTTGCCTTGTGTACCTTTTTTCTACGAATTTCTTTCTTTCCTTGTTGGTTTTGTTTCCAAGAAATATTGAAATGGAGGAGTCTCTCCATGAGCCAACCCTGCCTCGTTTTACAGTTTTATTTGGGCACCAAGGAAAGGGATGTGGTGTGGGCCCGGATCCTGTTCATTGAATAATTGATGTTTCCCGCTGTAAAGATTAGTATGTTGGTGCAAATAAACTGATAGGGCAACTATCTTAATCGTGATTTGGTGCAAAAAAAAATATTCATGTTCCTGACTGACTAATTGCAATATTTCCATTGATGTTCTTCCTCCCCCCCAAAAAGTTCATATAAAAAGAAAGGATTTTTTTAAATTACAACAATAAATTTCCATTGATTTTGATCACATACATACTTTCACTATATGATTTTTTGAAGATAAAATTACCAGAGAGGGTTCATAAACACGGGCCAAAATTGTATCTCCACACCTACATTTGACTTTTGGAGCAACCAATCTTCAAAGCTCGGCCTCCAAACCATCTGTATTCTGTATAATGCAAGCAATCTTTGTTAAAATTGGAAACTAGTAATGGATTGTTTGGCAAAATTGGAAGAACTAGATTTGGCAAAATTTTATACGAACTTTTTTTTTTTTTTTTTGCCAAAGATTTTATACAAACTATTAACGTATATGAAATACAAACGAAAATTTTATATAAAGATGCTTTCTCCAACACTTAGACTCTTTCTTTAGGCAATTATCTAGTAGGCCAAACTCATTGTAACACATATGTAACCTCCTTATTACCATAATGAGAATACCTACCAACTCTGTGGATGTAGCTCATTAAAGGGTGAACCACATAAATAATTTGTGTTATATTTGATCTTGCTCTTTCATTCATGCAACTCTAGATGAATCAATTTCGTGCGGGTTTCGAGTCGTGTAACGGGTCGTATCAGAAATTGCCACCCCAACCTCCCAAGCTACCCCCACAAGTCCCACATCGAAGGTTTAACACCAAAGGAATACCCCAAAACCTCTATAAATAGAGCCCCTTGCCCCCATAGTATAAGGTAATAGTCATTCGACACTTATGTCCTTACTTTGTCAGTCTAACTCCTCTTTCTTTTGGCTAACTTTAGCATTGGAGGGCCTTTGGCCGGTGCCACACCAGTGCCTTAGGTCTTACCTTCTGCTCTAAATCCTCTCATTCTTTTTTCTTCTTCTTCTTTTCAAATATTTTAGCATTTTTCTCTTTTTTTGTAAACTTTAAATTAATTGTGAGATTTCTTGTTTTGTCATTCATAGAGATGTATGGGCTTGCAAACCAAAAAGAACTGTATTTCTTCACCCCAAAAGCTCGGAGAAAGCACAAAGCCGGTGAGAAACTCGTATCTTTGCCACCATAAGCATAATTGCATTGCATGCCTATATATTTGGTGTTGAAAATATATAAATAAAGAAACTATAAGCACCTGCATAATGGCAGATTCATGAATTTTTAAGAGGAGGTGCAACATTTCAAAGGCTAACTGTTCCACACCAAAAAAAAAAAATTACTTTGGAAACTGTTAGTTGTTTAGACAAAAATCACCTGTATAATTGAAATGATACTATTATTATTCATAATTCATAAAAAAAATAACTGATGAGTTTTTTATTTTTTGTTTTGAAAAACTTGCATGATGCACATTCATGATTTGAATATATTGATGAATTGGATTTACAATATTGTAATGTATATATGAACAAACAAAATTCGCTTGTCATAAATGTGCAATTTATATATTCAGGGAAAAGAAAAAAAGAAAAAAGAAAAAGAAGAAAAGAATAACTTGCAATTTATTTCCTTGCGTCGAAGATTAAATTAACAAATAATTTCATTAATAATTCAACAGCATTTTTATGTTCAATATGTGCTTTAATATATATCAAAGTGTTTCTAGGTTAAGCCATCAAACTCTGATGACCACTCCACCCTCAAACTAAAGCCGCAGCATGATGTGGTCTTTAATAGAACAAAAACTAAACACGTGTATTGCACACACAGATTTTAAAACGTATTAATTGATCAGATCCAAAACGATTCGTTTTGGCCAGATCATTAAAAGGAAAAATTGATCGTGTTGCTGTTGTTGCTTTTCACTCCAGCCTTTCCACAAACAGGTTGTGGGCATTCTTGCCCAGCTACCCAGTCGACCAAGAGCTCAAGATGACTGAATTCTATGGTATTTTCAAGCGAAGGGAGGTGCACTTGTGCCTTTTTGCACTTCTGTGGATCCGCCATTTGCATGCATGCATGCAAAGCTATGCCATTTTTTTTGGTTAGAAGCTAAGCCATGTCATGAATGATATATAGCCTCTCTGCCTCACATGGACTCATGTGTTGGTCAAAGGTGTTTCTACAATAAAGAAAACAAATATTATGTGAGCTTACAAATTTGTGCTAATAATGTTCAGTGTTAGATCAGTTTTAAAATATAATCTGTTGCAAATTGTAATTAAAACTATACAAAAATAGATCTGATACTAATTAAAATTGATAATTATATTTAAAAAATTAGGGTTTTCATCCTTCACATTCCTTTATGTGCGAGTACATGTGAAATGATTCCTCTCATCATCATCACTATGAAGAAAGAGGGGAAAACCAATACATGTGAAATGATTCCTTCTTAAATATACTAACAAATATATATATATATAGATATAATATATAAAAAGTAATAATAATATTATTATTAATTAATGTGTAAAAACAGGTTTTCCCTTGTTAGTTATCTTAATGTGTCGCTAATTGGGTCATTTGTTAGTGACTTGATATTATGTAAGCTCGATTTTTTCGTTTGTATTCATAAGTGTTACTGAGTTGTATAAAATTTTTGTTCCCCAAACAATGCACCTTACTATAGTTTCAATGTAGAAGATAACACACATGTTTGGATTGGTTGTTTTTGTTTATAGGTTTTGACAATGATTATCAAGAGTAATTAGCAATAATAATAAAAATCCTCTATATATACACCATTAGATCATGTTCTGATCTTCACAAACACCAATAACGCACATTCTCTTTCTCTCTCTCCTTCCCTCTCTCACTCTCTCTCTCCCCCCATTGGAAACAATGAAACTATTTTCAGGTGGGCTTTTAGGAACCTACCTCCTCCTTTCCACATTGTTCTGGCCATCTCTTTCTAACCCCCACAGGCTACCCCCAACAACTCCCAACAACACCATCCAGCAATATCTAATCCCTCACAACACTCAAAGATCAAAGCTTGGCCTCCCTCCTCTCAAATGGAGCCAAAAGCTAGAGAAATACGCGTCTTGGTGGGCACACCAAAGGCAAGGAGATTGCTTTTTGATTCACTCAAACGGCAAATTTGGTGAGAACCTTTTCTGGGGCAGTGGACAAGACTGGAAGCCAAGTGATGCAGTTGCAGCTTGGGCACAAGAGAGAAGTTACTACAATTACAAGACTAATTCTTGTGCTCATAACAAAGATTGCTTGCATTATACACAGATGGTTTGGAGGCAGAGCTTGAAGGTTGGTTGCTCCAAAGTCAAATGTAAGTGTGGAGATACAATTTTGGCTTGTGTTTATGACCCCCCTGGTAATTTTATAGGTCAAAAACCATACTGAATATTCACGATGAGCTTCCCAAATATTGTATCATATTGTAGCCAATGAAATGAAGCCAGCTCAAGAGTTCTTTTTTATTTTCTTCAATTTCAGTTTAGAAATTTGCTTTAATTTGTGTTTACAATAAAATGAAATAAATTACAGCTGGGCATTGGCATCGCAGCCCTCTACGACCAAAACGACGTCGGCTCATTGTTGTAGATGCAGACATGCAGGACTAAAAAGCTGGCTTTATACTTGAAAGTTAAAACCATCTCTTTCTCTCTCTCTCTCTCTCTCTCTCTCTCTCTACCAAAAATGTTAATGCAATTCTGACCCTGAGCTGCTTTCTATTGACAAGTATGGAATATTGATATTTTTATATTTACCAAAAAAGGAAAAAGATTGGGACATTATGTGAACATAATTTCTTTTTGACTAAAATTAAACCAGCTGGAGCATATGCTTAATTAACCAAGAAATTAACTGTGGTTAGGTCAAAGGTATATATTCAAAGTACATGCATGCGGTAATGTCATGGAAATTTATTGGTTATATTTGTAAAATTATTTAAAATGACAAACATTAGAAATATTAAAAGGAATTGTGCATTGTGAGTGAATTACAGTACTATTGAATCAAACCAAGAGATGCAGGAAGGCCATCTAACCTCATGTGAGTAAATAAAAGAGGAAGCTGCACATCTGTCTACTCTATAAACTCACCACGTGGCAGTAGTTTTGGGATGACATGTGTGTATGAGTAGAATTTAGCTCATGAAATGGCCCCTTCAAGCTCCATACAACCCATTACGGGTTAATAAATGCAGGAGAAGTTATGAATTGAAATAATTTCAATACCCATGTGTTAGTAATCACAGAAAAATTAGGAATTTGAATAATTCCAGTATCTATTCATGATAAGTATACATGCCACAAATACTTTTTATTAATTAATGTTTTTGTTGTCAAAGAAAGAAAGGGAAATGATGATTTATTCACACATATTGATGTTTAGGGGTTTCAAACATAAAACGTTGGTCTTAGGCTAAACATACTTTTTCATTATGGTATTACCCCGTTGGCTTCATTATTTAATTTTTAACTGAAACAATTTTTTGGTGAGAAAAAGCAGACTTTAATCCCTTTTTAAGAAAAGGGATAATAATATTTCACATTTTTTATTGAATGACTCGCATTATGGTAAATAATTTATTACAAGCGAAGCAACCGAAAATTGATCAGAAAATAACAAATTCAGGAAAAAAGAAAAGGAGAAAGAAAACCAAAAATCAAATCTTCCTATTTTTGCTAATGCATCTCCTGATTCCCTTTGACTAACTCCTCTCTCTCTCTCTCTCTCTCTCTCTCTCTCTCTAAAAAGTACACACCTTTCTCTATAAACCACACCACATCTACTGCTTAACCAGAACATAACTCTCTCTATTTTTCTCTCTTCGTCTCTCTCTCTCTCTCTGTTGTTAAAGATTCTTATTAATTACAACAATGGCCGCTACGTGGCGGAAGCTGAAGAAGTCTCTGAGTCACAAGCTCTCATTAAACTCGTCCGATTCATCCAACTCGTCGTCTCGGCCGCCTCGTCCTCCTACCCCAGAAATCTCGGCAACCGTCGGGCCCTCTCCCTCGTCTCTCTCCTCCTCCTTCTCCTCCTCCTCCGCCATCTCCAAGCTCTCTCGCAGCTTCAGCTCTCGCCTCTCCAAGGTCAGTAATTGTAAATCACCATCATATTTTTCAATTTAATTCGCTCAGTCTTTAATTTAAATAATTTAATTTCTGTACGTTGCCATTGTGTGCCTGTTTGGTTCCCTGGAAAATCTGTTCCTTAATCTCGGGATCTCAGTCCCGGTGTTTTCATTATTTCGCGTCTCGTTTTGTCGCCGGCGAGATTTTAACCGGTGACTTTCCGGCGTGTGAGTGAGTGTTAATTTGCCGCGAAACCTCGGAGGAGACTGCCAGTTGTTCTTTCCCGAAGAAACAGGCCATCGTTTTCTGACTATTGAAACAGAATTAAGTTAGTTCGCCAATATGACCAATTTGCCCCTATTGGCTTCCTGTATTTACGGTCCCAGTGTGTGTTGGTTTGGCCGTTTCTTCGGTGGCAGTTGGGCATTTGATCACGTTTCTTTCTCTTTAGGTGTGTTGTCAAGTCACCGGCCATTAAGGCTCAATACTGCGGGTTTTTAATTAATTAATTAATAATACTATTTTAAAGGTCGTCCAAGTTTCCCTAATTATTCCCAATATAATTTGAAGCGTCTTGTAGATATGTTAGGCAAATCTTCAGTGATTGCGTTTTGTGAAAAAGTCAATGACATAGAGGCTAAGAAGTCGAATAAGGCAAAAGCTACATGCTTATATTGCACGCCCAAACAATTATGTCATATCATATCCTCTTTTATAAAGTTAGAGAATTTTTGTTGGACATTTGGAATTTCCTTTTTGTTTTTTAATTATTTGCATTGTAAAAGAATATTGTTTTACGTATGTCTTAATTTGTCTTGCTAATACAAAAAGATGACAACATGTTGCACATTTGATCTGTAATTATCTGTAATACAAAAAGATAATTTGCTACAGTTTAGGTTATGAAATTCTGGTTTTCCCTATTCGAATAAGTCACAGTTCCCTCACCCCTTTTCCATGTTGCAAATATATGCTGGTGCTGTGTTTATTATGACTTTTGGCTGGATTGCATTGTTCAGCTTGTGCCATACTGACAGTTTTCTATTTTCCCATAGAATAATGCTGATATGGATTCTTGTTAGCACCGAATTTGCTTTTTTGATAGGCTGTGTTTGCTTAACATACTGATGTATAAAAGTCTATTTATGTGGCAAAGTTCTTTTCATTCAATTTTGTTGATCAAAGCCTTCTCATTTTGTGTTAATCTTGAACAGTTGCTGAAAGGTAACTGCATTGGTATGGCCATCTCATGATGTCTGACTTTTGTTTAAATTGTTGTGTACAGAAAAATTGCGCCATTTGCCTGAGTAACGTGAGAGCAGGGCAAGGCCAAGCCATCTTCACTGCTGAGTGATTGCCAACAATGTCAAACATGGAAACCTTTGCTGCCCAATCTGCCGATCCAAGTGGAATGCTGTACCTTTCCAAGCTCCCACCAATGCTGCAGATCCTCAACAAAATAACTTGGGTCAGATCCATACCAATGTCTACCATCGTCACCAGTCTCACCTCCCATTGCAGCCCCAGGTCCATCCTGAGCCGCTTAGCTTCTCAGATGATGAACCTCTCCCATCCACCTCACCTACCCGACTCTCTGGCCCCCAAACTGTAGCAATCAAGAGTTATACAGAGTACTCTGCTATCTCTGTTGCAGAATCTCGCCCTACATTTCCTGTTCTTGTCAGCATCCGAGCACCACCTCTTCAAGATGCTAATGGCCATGGCCGTACCCCCATTGACCTTGTGACAGTTCTGGACGTAAGTGGCAGCATGTTTGGCACAAAGCTTGCCCTTCTCAAGAGTGCTGTCAAATTTGTCATACAAAACTTGGGGCCTTATGACCGACTTTCCATAGTTTCGTTCTCAACTATTCCTAAAAGGGTTTTTCCTCTGCGAAGAATGACTGTTGATGGGCGTGAAAGTGCCATTTTAGCAGTCGAGTCTCTTAGAGCAAATGGTGGAACTGACATTGTGGGAGGACTCAATAAAGGAGTTCAGGTCCTTGAAGAACGCCGTGAAAGGAATCCGGTTTCTAGCATCATCCTCTTATCTGATGGCAGAGACAATTGCAACTATGGCTCACAGACTACTTCAAGTGCAAACCAGGTGTCTGAGTTTTTGAACCAATTGCCAGCTTCAGTACGGTGTAGCAATATTCCAGTCCACGCATTTGGATTTGGCACTGACCATGATGCCACTACTATGCATGCTATTTCTGATTCATCTGGTGGCACCTTTTCCTTCATTGAATCAGTTGCTATGATACAAGATGCCTTTGCTATGTGCATTGGTGGTCTTCTCAGTGTTGTGGCTCAAGAACTTCGACTCACGGTTAGGTCAGCATCACAGGGAGTGCAGATTGTGTCAATACCATCAGGGGGACATATGAGTGAGATTTCTGATGAGTCTCAACAAGGTGTTGTTGACGTTGGAAATATGTATGCAGAAGAGGAGAAACAATTTCTGGTGTACCTTTCAGTTCCAATATCCACAGGAACTAGAAATAGGGAAGGCGTGAAAAAGACACCACTGTTGGATGTATCATGCTTGTACAAAGATCTAGGCTCAAATGAGTTAATCCAGGTGGTAGGTGAGAGGGTAGATATACTGAGACCTAAAGCTTGGTCCTCTGCAGATGAGGCAGTGTGTTTGGAGGTTGATCGGCAGAGGAATAGAATTTTGGTAGCCGAAGGTATCACAGAAGCACAAGTGATGGCTGAAATGGGAAATCTAGAAGGTGCACAGGCCATTTTGGCACAACGTAGATCAACTCTCTTAACAACAGCAGCAGCACAAGCTGGGGATGGTCTCTGTAATTGGCTTGAAGCTGAGCTTAGAGAAATCAGGGATAGAATGGCAAGTGTGGAATCGTATACACAGACCGGGCGAGCTTATGTTCTTTCTGGGTTGAGCTCACATTCATGGCAGAGAGCCACAACTAGGGGTGACATGACAACCCAGATTCTCACGATGAGCGAAGGTGGAACCTCACACACAAGCGTTGGCACAACCGTCGGCTATGAAACACCGACGATGGTTACCATGGTAAGGATGTCACAGAATCTTGGGGTTAATCCTGCAGCCTAACTTCAATGAGCAAACAAGCCTTGAAGCTTGGGTAAGGTGTGAATAGGGATACAGCATTAATCCTCGGATTAATTCATAGTAGACTAAAAGTTAGTAATTGCCAATTCAAACTCCCAATTAACCTTTTCCAAATTCTGACAATAGTTGCCTTCATATTATTTTGGCTGCTTGTTTGTTTAATGGGGTTTACACTTCATTTTCTTTTCCATGATGGATTGGATTGATTGAGATTCTTACTAGAAGTTAATATTCCATACTTTGTGTTCATTTCTTGCGCTAAGGATCATGTTCATATTTTCATCTTCTGGTCTGGCGTTTGTGTTGAGATTGTTTGACAGAAAGCCTATATTGCTTGCAACTCTTGTGCATCCACTTTGACAATTGGTTTTCCACATTTGCAAAGAGAGAAACAAGCATGGATTATTATTCTCTTAGTCTGGTGGATTCATGGATGGTAGAGCTAAATAGCTCATCTTGGCAAATCTTCTCACTTTTCGGAAGAAAAGTACCATAAGGGGAGAATGGTAAATTAGTAACTTTTCAATATGACCGTCACATCATCACGTGATGTTACGGATTCACTTATGTTGTGGTAACACTGAAAGTTTCAAAGAAATAAGTACTTTCCAGCCATGGACTTTGGTCGATATAAAAGATTGAGTGGTGAAAATAAGGCAAGCAGTTGAGAGTGAAATGTAATCACAAAAGAGCAATTGTTTTGATTAAAGGAAGGGGGAGCCTCAAGTATGCAAAGGGGTACATAATCTAAAGACATATTAGCACAAAACAAAGTTGAAAATTTGATTATAGATAATTTAAAGTCAAATTACATTTTTTTTTCCCCTGTAAGATGGTGGTAATTTCAAAAATTTAAACTGATTTCTGAACAATTTATAAGCTATTGCAATTGAGTTCAAAATCATGATTTTGGACTCTATTGCAACCATTTACAAGGGAATGATTGCTGAAATTGAAACCAAATGAATCCGAAAATGAAATAAGAAAGCGAATTGACTTGGCGGTAATATAATTTCCACCTAATTTTAATCGGAAACAAATTACAAGAAATTTGGCCAAAAATTAACATCACCGCACCACCACCACTTCCAAATTTGCAACGGAAAGCTCATGTTCGAATTAAAAGAGAAAAAAGGAAAGAAGAAAAAAAAAAAGAAGGCGTGGGAGGAAATATAGCCTATAGGAATTAACGTTAGAAAAATAAAATATAAGAGAGAGAGAGAGCCTTTGACGTTTTTGGTGATGCTACTGGTAGGTGTGAAAAGTCTCAAGCTCGTAAAACAGTTTGGCATTTCCCACCATCGAAGCTTCTGCAAGTTTCGCCTTGCTCTGTCGACTTCCTGCGATCTACGTATACCTTCCCAAGTATGAATATTCTGTCAAAAGATTTCATCTTTTTTTTGCTCTTTTTTTAGAAATTCAATTCGATCTGCAAAATGATTAATTAGTGTGTGAAAGGAAAAAGTAGCACTTTTTTTTTTTTCATGGGTTTAGGTATTTTACGTTGTAGGGAATTGGGGGGGTATTATTTCAAGGCACGAGGGATTGAATTTGCACAAGAATAATACTTCTTCTTTGTGTCTGAGATAATGTTGGGCAAGGAAAAAAAGATTGAACAATGCGGATTGTTATTTATCTGTGCAATTCAGTCTAGTTTCAACCTGGGATTGCTCTAATGATTCGAGTTATAGTATACTACCTTTTTATTTTATTTTATGGTATACAGCTCTAAGAATTATAGTGCTCAGCCTTTGTGATTAGTGTTTAGTTACTTGCAATTTCAGGGTGTCTTGTATCTTATGGTGCTCACCTTCAAGCACTAGTCTTTTGATCCATGGCCAAGCCCGAACTTAGTGCTCGGACTGTTCTAGAACCACTGTCATTCTTCAACCTCTCTGACCACTCTCGTGCACAAGTTACATCCCTCGCTATCTACACGGTCTCTGACTCCCAGTGTCTAATTTACATTGGGACTCAGTTTGGAGCCCTATTTTTATTCTCTGTAAACCCTGGCAATCCCAATGATGAAACCCGGTCTGATCGTTCCAACAGCCCTTCAGTCCTGCAGAACATTTCTCTTTTGCGAAAAGTTGTGGTCGGAAATTCCTCAGTGGAGTCTATACAAGTATTTGGTGACATTGGGAAGCTTTTGGTGCTTTTGGGTGGGTTTTTGTTTACGGTTGATTCACTTCTGTTGCAGCCTGTGAAGAGATTGAGTTTCTTGAGAGGAATTTCTGTTATCACGAGGAGGTTGCGAAGCAGTGAATCAGAGTGTTCGAATTTGTCAGCTCTTAGCAGTTCGTCAGAGTATACGAGCACAAGTCAGCGATTTTTGCAAAAGTTGGGAAGTGGGATCAGAGCAAATGGCTTGAAAATGAAAGAAACAGTGCAGCAGCGTGTAGACAATCATGTTTTCTCAGTCGTGATTGGAAAAAGATTGGTATTGATAGAGCTTGTTTTGATTAATAGATTAGGTAAAAGTGACCAAGACATTGATGATGGGTCTTTTGTAATTCTGAAAGAAATTCAGTGTATTGATGGGGTTATGGCCATGGTATGGCTCAATGATTCGATAATTGTCAGTACGGTTAATGGATATAGTTTGTTTTCATGTGTTACGGGACAAAGTGGTGTAATATTTTCATTACCTGATGGTTCTAGTCTGCCACGACTTAAATTGTTGTGTAAAGAATGGAATTTGCTTTTGTTGGTGGACAATGTTGGCATCATAGCTAATGCACATGGGCAGCCAGTTGGTGGTAGCTTGGTGTTCCATAGTAACCCAGATTCTATTGGGGAGATAACTTCGTATGTGGTTGTTGCAAGGGATGGAAAGCTGGAATTGTACCATAAGAAAACTGGTACTTGTATTCAGATGGTCACTTTTGGTGGCGAAGGGGTAGGAGGGCCATGCGTTGTTGCAGATGAGGAAGATAGAACGGGAAATCTTGTCGTTGTTGCAACACCCACCAAGGTATGGAAAAGTATTTGATCCAATGATTCATTTATACTTTTTGCAGCTTCATTACAGACATGTACAACTTTTTCCCTTTTTTTCTTTCTATGTTTCTGTTTTTAGTTTGTATACTCTTTTCTTTTACACCAGTGCTGTATTTATCAATTGGAATGAACGATAAATTGCATTTATGAGTATTAAGAGGAAGTGGAAGTATAAATTCGCATGTTAAATAGTTTCTTAATTTATATGGTTAACTTTACAGTTAATTTTTCATTTAAGCTAAGATCAGTTTGATGATTGTACTCAGTGTGCAAGGGTTTTCATATGAGGAGATTATAAACAAATTTTTCGGAACTGGGGACAAAAAAAGGAATTGTGTTGTTGAGTGATTCCTTGAAGTTCCCTTCATTAAAGTGCTTTTTATCTAGCATGTTGTATGGAAATACACTCGTGAGGAATGGGTTATAGGAAGTATGAGTTTCCTTATGATCAATTATTGCCAGTTATTTTACTGTTGTGTCTGACATATGACTGGGGGGAACATGATTGCATCCTGTTTTAGCTTTTGTTAAAATATATATATATATATATATATTCTATGGATTTGTTATACATTTATAATTTCTATAGACTAAGATAGCAAAAAACCTGCAAGTTTCAATTGTCTAGTCTGTTGCTGAGAAATTTTGCTCCTGAATTTGATTAAAGCCAAATAGACTCATTAAAGTTATAGTATCTGTATATTTGGTCATACTTGAGTGATTTGCGTGTTTATAATCATAAACATGTTTTTGCAAAATACTTTAAGTACGTTTTACCTGAAAATGTTTATATAGGTCTAGAGCTCATAAACTTTAAGCTTTCCACGTGAACACAGTTGTCACTGCAGCTTGTGCTGTTTTGTTTGAGAATTGATCGATCAAGTATTAACCTTTAAGAGTTGACAGTGATGCATATGCTTTCTATGGTTGCTTGATTGGTTTTCATAGTTTTCTTATATGTCCTTTCCATGTTGCAAATTTCTAGGTTGTTTGCTTTCGGAAATTACCTTCTGAAGAACAGATTAAAGATCTATTGAGAAAAAAAAACTTCAAGGAAGCCATCTCCTTGGTGGAGGAGCTTGAGTGTGAGGGTGAATTATCAAAGGATATGCTCTCGTTTGTTCATGCTCAAGTGGGCTTTCTCTTGCTTTTCGACTTGCATTTTGAGGAAGCAGTGAATCACTTTTTGCAGTCTGAGGCCATGCAGCCTTCTGAAGTATTTCCATTCATAATGAGAGATCCAAATCGATGGTCACTACTGGTATGGTCTTTTGTGCTCATAATTAGGGTATTCATCTCATGTATACTGCCTTCCTATAGTCACCTATAGTGTCTCTACCTTAATAGAAAAGGAGAGGAGAGTCTGGCTTGCTCTAAAGCTCATTGATTGCATAATAAACTTGCTTCCTTTAGAAGATAACTGCCCAAAAAAATGCATTGTAAGCAATTAAGGACGTGGACTGTGATACTCATTAGAACATCAAGGTTAAAATTCTCGTTGCATTTTGTTGGGAATGTTAAATTGCCAGAAAAAGCCAATGTGTGGTTCGGTGGAAAAATGGAGATGATACTTAATTTACCATTTATATGTTTTATGTAACAATGAATACTACAGTGTGAATGCGAACAACTATGAAAGAACTATTTTGTGCTTTTGTAGTAGTCACTGAAAATACTCTCTCAAATAATTTGAATGTTGGTGCAGACTATTGTGTTAGTAAGCCTTCTGAATGTTGTAACCATAGCATAGAACTTGTGTTTTTAGGTTCCTAGAAACCGCTATTGGGGTTTGCATCCTCCCCCTGCGCCTCTGGAAGATGTTGTAGATGACGGGTTGTTGGCAATCCAAAGGGCAATATTTCTCAGGAAAGCAGGTGTGGAAACTGTGGTAGATGATGCATTTCTCCTGAATCCGCCAAGTAGAGATAATTTGTTGGAGTCTGCCATCAAATCAATTACTAGGTGACTGCATACCACTGGTTATTCGCCAAATATTTTTCCTCTTAATTTCTGTTGCATTTTTTATCCAGAATTTGATTTTTTTGGCAACTAGCATTTGGATCATAATATCTTCTTGTATGCACATTCTTGCTACAGGTATTTGGAGGTTTCTCGTGAGAAAGAGTTGACTCCATCAGTGAAGGAGGGAGTTGACACTCTATTAATGTACCTCTATAGAGCTTTAAATAATGTCTATGACATGGAGAAGCTGGCATCATCAGCAAATTCTTGCGTTGTGGTATGTGTTCTTATTTGTGTTTTTTTTTTCACTGTTGCTATTGCCTCTGATATGTTCGTTTAGCATGCCCAAGGATTTGTACTTTTACAACTTTCCTAATCGGGGAGTTCCTGTTTCCTCCTCCAGTACTTCTAGTCTTCTTCCTAGAAGGAACCTGTGAATATGAATGGTTCATGTCGTACACGACTACTTAGAATTTAGAAAAAGTAAAAAACAAAAAAGAAGATGATATATGATCTAGTGCCAAAGATTTGGTTTTGGTTTAGTACCAAAGGAAATGGATGGAAAAAGGTTATCAGATGGTGTTTTGAGAACTATTGAGTATATTAACTGTTATTTGAATCATAAGAAAAACTAGTGTTGTCATTGTAGACCCTTCATCCACTTCAGGATGTCTGCTTTTTTTAATTGTACCAGTGTGTAAATCAGAGAAAATGAAGTAGTGATTCTTAGGATAAGAAAAGGAGATTGATGGTTACTGTAGTTGAAAGAAAAGCTAAGATGAAATCAACATAAATTTTCCCTCAAATTGGACTATAGAAAAGTTTCATTTTCATATTGTAGGGGGCCGGGTTGAGATTCCGTCTGTATTTAATTTCTAAGACACGGTTTTGGGATTTTAACCAGCTAGAAAGGGCACCAAATGATGGTAGCAATTGTAAGAACCATGCACATGTCCTGGATTTGGTGACATTAAATTTATGTTTAGTTTTGGAATCAAAAGCAACAAACTTTATAGGCCTCAAGACAATGCACTGTGAAGATGTTGGTAAACAATCTTAGCATTCCAATGCATTGCAAAACAGAGGCCATTGTCTGGAGCCTGCTTGAGGGATGACTGTAGAACTTGCATGGGCGGTGCAGGAGGAGTTGGAAACTTTGCTAGATGACTCTGGGCATTTACGTACACTTGCCTTCCTATATGCAAGTAAAGGAATGAGCTCGAAGGCTCTTGGTATCTGGCGCATCTTGGCAAGACATTATTCATCTGGCCTTTGGAAAGACCCCGTCATGGAGAGTGGCTCACAGGATGGTGGTACAAATATTGTCTCTGGTAAGGAGACTGCTGCAGCTGAGGCATCAAAGCTTCTTGAGGAGTCTTCTGATCCAGGGCTTGTTCTACAACATCTTGGATGGGTATGTGTTAATTATCTGCAGTGTTGTTTCTACTCTATCTTGGATGGTTTGTCTTGTTGTAGTTTCACAATTTTGACTATTTTAGAGAAAGTTAATGGTGTTGTGCTTCGCAAGTCCAATGTTTAATAAGGAGCTGGTTGGTCTTGTTAGGTTGCAGACATCAATCAGGTTTTTGCAGTTCAGGTTTTAACATCAGAGAAAAGAGTGAATCAACTTCCACCAGGTGGGATTTGTTCATACCCTGATGAATGTGGTTTTGACTTCATAGTTAAGCATACCTGAAGTTGCTACTTGTGTAAATTTTCTTATGAATAGTTCCTACAGAGTACTTGTATCCATGTTTCATCTTATTCTTAATAAAATCTTCTTCTTCTTTTTTTTTTTTTTTTTTTTTTTTTTTTTCCTGATATAAAAAAAATGAACTATTTCAGTTTCCATCAAGTTCAATTCAGAATTTTAGTATTCATTTGCATTTTGGTTTGACAATTCATTGTCAATTATAATTATGTTTGCAACTTTTATTGAATGCCACCAAGGAAAAGTATCTTAGTAATAACGGATTATGAAGAAAAAAAATGGAAATTTTAAATTGACCTAAATGGCACCAAAGCACAAGGAAATTATCCAGTTGTTAAGGGAGTGATTTATAAGAGGTTTACACCTTTATGTCTCTCCACCCGTCAATTGAGCCAGAATGCGCTCATCTATGCATTCATTTTGAGCATCTCTATGAAGCAAGGCACCAGAAAATTTCTCTATTTTTATTAAATTTTCGTTATATGAGCTTTTTGAAATTTGTTTTTATAAGAAAACATCTTAGACTTTTGTGTTAACATGTTGTTTTGTTGTCTGTATGGCATCAATGGTTATTGATCATGCATAAACCTGTTTTTATTTATTTGAAAAAAATTGTTTCTGTGGTTGATCCTTCAATATTGTTCACTCGTTTTATTCCAGATGAAGTTATTGCAGCTATTGATCCAAAGAAGGTAGAAATTTTCCAAAGGTATGTCAATAACTGGGACTGCACTACATCTTCCCCATGTAATTGAGAGAGTTTAGATGATGGTAGAAAGTCATATAGTGTCAACATGTATGCAGTTGGGGATTTGAGGTCATTGTACTGTTTATTTAACCTCCTGTACCAAAGATTTTTTCACTATAACCATTTGGAAGTAAATGAAATTGTGTCCATCTGAAGTCAGAAAATCTCTTTTGTTTGGCCTACAGTTTCTGAGAATTACTTCTTTGGCCAGGGAATGAAACTGATTCCCTGGTTGTCCAGTTTTGCATTATATTTGAGCTCTTCCAGCAAAAAGAGCTGTAAATAACTGGCATTTCATACTTTGCCATAGTTTTTTTTTTTTGGAATAATCTTTAAAATTCTGTGGCTTTATTGAGTTTGGTTTCATGGTGTTAGCCACAGTTTGTAAGAGCACAAAGTGGAATCATATAGTTACCATTATAACTTACAATGCAAGGTAACCATGATAAACTACCTGTGCAATATTTTCGTCAAAGTGCTATTCTTTTATCTCATTTTCCAGCGGTGTCATTTATTTTATCAAATGCATTTGTCATATTCTTTATTTGCTTTTTCTTACTTGCACTTGTTACTTTCAAAAAGAAAAGAAAAGTTCTTCCTTATGTGAATTGATCCTCACTGCACAGATTTGATTTTAACCTCTTTATCTGCACAGGTACCTTCAGTGGTTAATTGAAGACCAAGAATCGTATGACAGTCAGTTCCACACATTATATGCTCTCTCACTGGCCAAGTCAGCAATTGAAGCTTTTCAAGCAGAAATTGCTTCTCAAAACCTTGATCCTGGAAGAATAGAAGAGACAAACATTTCTGATCATAGGACAAGTTTGATCTTTCAAAGTCCTGTTCGGGAAAGACTGCAGATATTTTTAGAGGCTTCCGACTTGTATGACCCAGAGGAGGTTCTTGACTTGATTGAGGGATCAGAATTGTGGTCAGAGAAGGTTTGTCGTTACTTATTTTGGACCTTGTCTTGAATTCTGCTTCTCAACCATGGCTAGCTGAATATGATGATTATGTACTCTGAGGCCTTGGACAAGTTAATTATTAAGCTTGCTTTTTTAGCTGTTGGTCACTCATGGATGGCATTGATAATTTGTAGTGCCAAAATGATTTTCTTCTTGTTTGATACTGCTACTGCTAGTCTCTGATTCTGGATTATTCCACAGGCTATTCTTTATAAAAAACTAGGGCAAGAGGCATTGGTGCTCCAAATTTTGGCCTTGTAAGTTTCATCTTCCTTTCTAAAATATTCGCAACAATATATCCTATGCCACCTCATGTGGTTATCATCTCACATTAATTTGGCACAAGTTGAGGCTTCTTGTTTGTATGTGAATGTCCACCATCCCTCTTTTTTTCAAGAAATAGAAAACAATGATAAATTTCATTGTTACCTTGACAATGGTGTTTCTTTTGTGCATTTCATAAATTTCTATATAATCTTTTCTGAAGTATGAAAAGTTATGCGTTTAGCAATTTCTTGAACACGTGAGGTTTATGACTAGTAATAATGGTAAGAGCTTATATTATAGCACATAAAATTGTATTGAGAAATATTAAGATATTTTTTCAGATAGCATATAAGTGATTAGCTTTTGGCTCTCTCTCTCTCTCTCTCTCTCTCTCTCTCTCTCTCTCTCTCCATTATATTGTCTACCACCTTCTGCGGTGTCCAATATGCTTCAGTTATGGGGTTTAATAGTAAGTTGGCAAGTGCTGATCTATGTTCTCGCTTAGAGGTTTCTGTTCTTTCTGCTAGTTTTATGGTTTAAATTAGGTTAGATAATAGAATGGTTTATTACACTTCAAGGCATATTGGAACGTAGTAGTAACTGTAGTTTAATCCCAAATACATGGGATTCAGTGGCATGAGCTGAAATTTGAAGAAATAATTGTTTTATAGATGAAAATCGAATTGGTGCAAAGTTCTGCGAACTAATATACAATGGCTTTTTAGGAAGCTGGAAAACAGTGAAGCTGCTGAGCAATATTGTGCTGAGATTGGGAGGCCAGATGTCTATATGCAGTTGGTTCTCTCTCTCTCTCTCTCTCTCTCTCTCTCTCTCTCTCTCTCTCTCTCTCTCTCTCCCTCTCCCCCCCTCTCTCTCACTCACTCCCCCACATGTGCACGAACAAGCACACAAAAACACATAAACACATGCAAGCACACACATGTGAAGTATGCCTCTGATGTATCTAAAATTGCTTCTGGATTTTCCTTGTTTGTGCTGTGAAACTCAGGTTACTTGATATGTATCTGGATCCACAAGATGGTAAAGAGCCTATGTTTAAAGCAGCTGTACGACTACTTCACAATCATGGTGAATCATTGGATCCTTTGCAAGTTTTAGAGGTATAAAGACTCTCTCTCTCTCTCTCTCTCTCCCTCAGGTTTTTGGGAATTTGGAGGTGAGAAGAGAAAATGGAAGGTCTCACGGATGCACATACACTTCTTTAGTTGCTTTTGTTAATAGCTGAATTCTGTTGTTGAGGACTCTGCCAAATATTTGATGTTTGAAACATCATGTTTCTCATGTTCTGTACAAAATTTCTGGTTAATGTTGCAGAGATTGTCCCCTGATATGCCCCTTCAACTTGCCTCTGAAACTATATTAAGAATGTTGAGAGCTCGGCTTCATCATTACCGTCAAGGACGTGTAAGTTTTTTGCTTGTGTTTCAGGTTCTTGTCATTAAGCTATAAGGTAAAAAAAAAATTCATTCATTTGCTTTGCAGTATTCATTTATTTTCCTCCATAATATGATAATTGAATTAGTCATTCTAATTTTTTATTGTGATTGCTGGGCAAGCTATCTTTAGATATCTGTTTTACTCAAATCAGTCTCTTGCATGAAGCCTCTTCCATGTTTTCGTGCTTTTCATCCCCTATTGAGCTGATACTTGATTGCTTTTTCAGATTGTGCATAATCTGTCCCGTGCTCTGGATACTGATGCAAGTTTAGCAATATTGGAGGAAAAGTCGAGGCATGTGCAGATCAATGATGAAAGCCTTTGTGATTCTTGTCATGCACGGCTTGGAACTAAACTTTTTGCTATGTACCCAGATGACACCGTAGTCTGTTACAAGGTTGGTGATTCTGACTTTTTAATCATGTAATGAGGATGATTTTATTGAATCTCAATAGTCCCCCTTTCCTAAGCTTTGCAGAATAAAACTGTTATTGTACTGTTATAGCATTACTAAGATGTCTCATGTGGTTCACTGTTGAGACACTGGGAAGCACATGCACTTTTGGGAGTAGGGACTGTTGTTTTGATCAATCACATGATTCAAAAAATTTTACCCAGGCCTCAGAGAATACTCTTTAAGTTATGAGAATTGTTTTGCACGTGTTCATACAATATTGAGCAAGGGAAATTAAGGCAAACCAGTTCAGTGACCTGCTACATGCAATATGATCTTTGGAAGTGTTATGCAACCTTCCAGTATTCAAACATTCTGCTTTAGTACAAAAGTCTTGAGCACATCTAGTTCTTATAGTTATCCATATTACTTGTTCATGGCTAAACACAGAATTTTCAAAATTTACTTCCTTCCTTGTGCAGTGTTTCCGTCGTCAGGGTGAGTCAACTTCAGTCACTGGTCGCAACTTTAAGCAAGATGTCCTAGTAAAACCAGGTTGGCTTGTGACCCGATAATCCAAAAGAGTTTGTGTGATAAATGAAATTGAAGATTTGGGGCTGGGCTGCCTTTGAGTTTATGCTCTATGGATTTTCCTTGAGGCTCAGATTTCAGGTTTTTGACAAATCCAAAAGTTATCATGAAGTGTATTGCTGAAGTTCTGGGAGTCGAGATTTTTCCATCTTTATATTGGACTCGGGTCCCAAGTTTGTAATCATTCGACCAAAGAAGCTCCATGTGGCGAGATTTATGATCTTTACACGGAATACAAGCGTTTCTTGTGCAGTTTTTTGATCATTAGCAAGCCCACCTTTGTCATGGGAAAGAAACTTCAAGCACCATATCTTGGTTACCGATTCATTTGTGACCCGATGAAGCTCTAGAGAAACATGCAGGCGTAGAAGTTTGAGATGTGACTAGCGATTTCCTGCTCTATGGCACCTTACAGCCAGGGCCAGTAATAATACTGAGTTTTCAAGAGTCCAAGTTAAAATCGACAAATGTTTCTTAGATACTGTATAATTTGAGTTGAGGTGTTGGGATGCTGCATTGCAGTCATGTATGTAGTCAGAACATAGACTTCCTGGCTACCCGATAACTGTCATAAGGTCATTGAGATCTTATCTGCCACAGGTTAACAATGTTGTTATTTTCAAAAAAATTCGTCAAATTTTTTTTACGTGTTCCAAAGTACAGTGTACAAATAACTCAACACAGAATTTCCAAGACACCATCATAATAATGGTGGAGTTTAATACGTAGGCTGTGTTTCCAAATTTTAAGTTGTTTTATGATGTTTGGCCTCGTCGAATTAGTAATAAATATTGAAGAAAGAAAGAAAGCTTGTTTATATTGCCACAAAATATATAATAAAAAATGTTTTTATTGAACATAAATTAGCAGTGCTAAAGATAATAGTAATACTTTCTTTTCTTGGGATAATAGGGAATGCACATGTTCTTGAATTTGAAGATTAGGAAGGACAAAAAGGGTAAAAATTTTCATTTTTTTAAAGTTAATGGAAAGCACACAATACCCACATGTCATGGTAGACTTTCTCATTATCTGCAGATGGCTTTTCTGGTAGGATAGATTGAGAGAAAATCTTAATCAACCCACAACCAATAACAATCATCCAACTCAGCCTCCTTACTCCCTCCCCCTTATCCACTCTCCCTCTTCTCTCCTACACCACCAATATCTCCTCCAAGAATCTAAAAACCTGCCCTCCACACTCTCCCCTCCAGATCTTCTCCTTCCTCTCTGCGCCTCATCACAATCCCAAAACCCGAAGAAAAAAAAGAGAGGAAAAAAAAAACAGAAAAAAAAATGTCTCTAACAATTCCCACAAACCTCTCAAAACCCATGTTGAAGCCAAAACTCAGCTCCCCATTGGCCACAAAACTGCCAAGGACCATGGTCTTCTGCTCAGCCTCTCAAACTCCAAACCCTACCCCAGAGAAAATATCCACTGCATCACCAATGCAGGCTTTCTCTGCTGCACTTGCCCTGTCCTCCATCCTCCTGGGCTCAGCTCCCATGCCTGCAGTTGCAGACATCTCAGGCCTCACCCCATGCAAAGACTCCAAGCAGTTTGCCAAACGTGAGAAGCAGCAGATCAAGAAGCTTGAGTCTTCACTGAAGCTCTATGCACCTGACAGTGCACCAGCCCTGGCCATCAACGCCACCATTGAGAAGACTCAGAGGAGGTTTGCCAACTATGGCAAGCAGGGTTTGCTCTGTGGCTCTGATGGGCTTCCCCATTTGATTGTCAGCGGTGACCAGAGGCATTGGGGTGAGTTTATCACCCCCGGCATTCTGTTCCTGTACATTGCTGGGTGGATTGGGTGGGTTGGCAGGAGCTACTTGATTGCCATCAGGGATGACAAGAAGCCAACGCAGAAGGAGATCATCATTGATGTGCCTTTGGCCACTAGCTTGGTTTTCAGAGGCTTCATCTGGCCTGTGGCTGCTTACAGAGAGCTCGTGAACGGTGAACTTATTGCCAAGGACGTTTAAGCTTTTGGGTTGGCTTTTATTTGTTCTGAATTTCTTGTATAATTTGTAAAATTTTACTTGGAATTATTATATGTACCAAATGCTTGTGTTTCAAACTGATCCGCTTAACAGACCTAGTTGTGGTACCGAACACTTTACGGTCATATGGTGTTCATGTCGTGTAACTTTTTTATTATTTTATAAGCGATATTGGGAGATAGGAGAATCGAGCCTAGGAGTTAGGATGCGTGTGTTCATGTGTCACTTTAAATTTATGGTTTAAAGTGGCTTCCAAATTCCAATCACCATGAAGAAATCGAATTTATACAATCAAGAAGTTCTCTTTTTGGGGTCTAAAACTTCATTGATGATCCAAAATATGGTACAATATTACATGGACATAGATGTTAAAAGCAAAGAACTTTGCGAGTCCCAGTTATAAGCAAATTGCCAACCTTAAAGCCGCAACAATTGGGCAATGAAATCGGAACAATATATGACCCAACAAGAACCCAACTTGTAGAAGCCCAAAAAGTGCTATAAACACATTGAAGAGAACCAAATTAAAAAAAAAAGAATTTATAATAGTGTTTTCTTCTTTTGACCCAAAAAAACAAAAAACGTGGTCGGCAGGATTCGAACCTGCGCGGGCAAAGCCCACATGATTTCTAGTCATGCCCGATAACCACTCCGGCACGACCACCCCGATGAACATTGCCCTTCATGTTTTATTATGTATTGGGAACTTCTAATCTTTTATTCCCACTGCTTCCATAACATTTCACCTCTCATACACACCAAATAATAGTGTTACAAATTCATCCCTATTTTGCTCACTCACACTTATCTAGACACTAAGATCATGTTTACATATCAGTAATAGATATGAGAGGAAATTGAATGATTTCCATTCTTGACTTCTCATGCGTTTACTTGCAATCAGTAATGAAAAAATATGTGGGCCCTACCTCAAAATCCGTAATCACATTCCCTCAAAACTAGGTATCTGATCAACTAAGAGGGGGTAGTCAATACGATTCTCATTCCTGTTTTCTCTTATTAACTTTCAAAAATACCCTTACCACTTTACCTTAATTCCAAAACACCTCAAACCCTAAAAAAATAAAAACTCAAGCCAAGAAGAAGTTCAAAGACTCTCCAAGGTGTTATTGGAGTTTATTTTTTCGTTTGAAATGGACAAATGTGTTATTAACATTATCATTGAACTGGGATCTTGCTGTTCATCTTGTTCAGCATATTGATTCCTCATGTTTACACCGCCTTACTAGTTTGCTGTAGGATTAGTTTAGTCTCCTTAACCAATTTGAAAATTACACATGTGCTGTGGTGAAAATATGCAGGGCATTTTAGTAATCAAATTAATTTGGATTCTGATTCATGAAAATTAGTAAACAATAACAATGGCAATCAACCCCATTCCTTTACTAATTCCATATGTTTAGTAAACAACTTAATGAAAATGATTCTTTCCATATTGATTCAATACTTCCCCGATTTCTAAAAGGACCCGTGCACTAAAATGCCCCATATTTATATATTTTCATTTGTGCACATATAAATTGTACGTTCCAAAGTATGTGAAGTGGCCTAGTAGTTGGCCCTTTCTCTTATCACTCAATTGGTCTGGGTTCGAAACTTTCCCCCTCCCCTTAGAATAGAATATCGTTGTAACTCAAAAAACAAATAAATTTTACATTCCAACCCTCTAAAAATCACTACTCGCAGTATATAATTTTCTGTAAAAAAAATATATTCATATACGAATGTAACTAATATACCTCATTTGGAAATCATTTCACCATAATGTTCATGAGCCTCATACGAGACCATTGGTGTATGTAATTACATAAAGCATTTGTGTCCAATGACTTGCTAATATGATGGATTAGCAAAGAAGAAATGGATAATATGTTTTACACGTAGACATCTTCTTTCGGCGAAGGCATGCAAATGCTGGTTAAATGTGGTCCATTGGATTATTTTGTTCACTTGTCGAAAGGGAATTCTTAGACAAGACCTCAATCCCATCAAGCAAGCCATTGGAAAAAAGCAAGCCCCTCCCATTGGACCCCAAATAAAGCATGTATGCAATTCAGAAACAGACCAAAGTCTTCTTCCAAATTAGGAAATTAACGATTGATAAAATATGGAAAATATGTAAAGGGTAATTTCATTTTCCAAACTAATCACGATTTGACATGTGTTCAAAGACTTTATTTTTAATAAATTATTTTTCAAATGTATCATACCTAATCCATTTGTAAAAAGAAACGACTCCTTGCGTATGAGAAACGAAACAATATATTTAGACAAAAATAACTCACCAAACATCTTCATGCCAATAGATATAGCCATTCCTTACATTTACTATGATCCACAATCTTCAAACTAATACAATCTTCTTTCAAATTTTTGTGCCCAACTCTACTCCCCAAACTATAAATAGGTTTGGTGGATGGCCAAAGTCATCAACTCACTTTGATCCAATTCAGAAAGAAAAAGTCCCACAAGCAAATATATGATTACCCAATAGATGAAAGTTAAATTAATATTTACAATCTAGTTATTAATTAGAAAGAAGAAGAACAAAAACAAAACCCCCCTCTCATACCCAAGCGGGCGAATCGCGCCGGTCACCATTTCCGTTGCCCGCCACCGCATTGCTGTCATTACCGTCACTTACATTTACCTCAGTGTATTAGTAAGGATTACATAAGTATCAAAGCAAAATTAAACATGATTACCAAAATTAATTACTCTAGATGTAGTAGACATTAGAAAATAATTAAGCTTAGCATGACCACATGGACTCTCCCAGTCCCAAGCTGGTATGGTCCACCATCATATCCATGTCGAAAATGGGCCGGGTTTGAGAGCCCATGAACTTGGAAGACGGCGAGCCGCTGTTACTTGGGCTAGCCGGGCTCAGCCCATGGTTGGAGAAAGATGCAGTCTGCCTAACCCTAAGGTGCACCACCTCCGCCTGAGCCAGAGCCAGTTGGGTCTGGAGCAAATCAATTTGTTGCTGCAAAGACGAAATTGCCCCTACGCACCCATAAACTGGGTCTCGAACCCTGGCATTTGCTTCATACACCATGCTGCTGACTGCATCTCCACGCTGGTGCTCTGGCAGCTCCTGCAAGTGTCACAAAGTTTAGCTTGGTCTTAGCCATGGCTCCAAAATTTTGCAATATTGGTCTGAACCCAAGTGCCAAATTAAAGGCCATAGGTCCTACAAAGTTGGGTCGATGTAATGATCACATCACTCTATGTTCTTTTCTGGAACTTAATCATGCTTTTTCATTTTGGTTGAACAAAATTTTATGGTCTCAAATTAAGGTCTGTTACTTTATTTGTTGAGGCATCATGTCCTACTAACAAAAAAAATCTATGAGGCATCACGTCTTACTCGAAACGAAGAATGGAAAAACTCTTAAATAGCACTATTATTGTAGCAATGTTCTCAAATAACACTAGTACTGAAGTAAATTGACAATACGTAGACTATTTGGTATCGACGTAATGTCACAATCGACAACATATATATACAAGGACAATTTGCTACAGTAATAGTTTTGTTTCAAAAACACACTACTAGGTAATAGTGCTATTTGAGAAGAAAGACTTTTATGAAACGGGGATATCACTATTTTGCTATCTTCAGTCAATAACGCTATGATATACGTGACAACACTTTCATATGACATAGCATTATTGACCAGAGATAATAAAATCGTGTTATTTCCGTTATAACTAACTAAGT